GTAAAAACCTTACCAACACAAGAAAACCAGAACTTGACGGCTGATTGCAGATCATGACCAGAGCCGGGGCTGCTCCTGCCACAGTTCCCACCAAGGCAGGTCCCACTGAGAATGCCAAGGTGTATCTCAGCACAGGCCATGTCCTGGCAGATCCTGAGCTTTTGCCTGCCAGAACCTACTTAAAAAAAGAAACTGCCCTCTGCCCTTAAACTGTCTCATCTTGGGAGTCTAAATCCAGATACTCCTTGGAGGGGAGAAAAGGCTCAGTACTTGTGTGTCCCGCTGACCCCGGGCCTGTGACTCTGAGAGACACCCCCACGTTGAGCACCCACCTTAGGGGGCTGCTACATTCGTCACAGGTCCCTGGGAGCCGCCTCTCCCTCGGGCACCTGCGGGAGCAGGAGTGTGGCTCAGGGAGATGTGTCTGCCCCCGGGATATTCCCCCTCGCAGATTTGTTTGCCCAGGGCAGCCACAGTAGCCATGGCATTACCCTGCACGGCCTGGCGGGGCCGACCAGGCGGTGCCACCGAAGCTCTAAGGGGGCTGTGATGGAGATCGAATCCTGCCTGCACCAGTGCCAGAAGCAGAGAACCACAGCACTGCACAACCCTCCTGTCATTTTTTTTTTTTTTTTTTGCTTTTCTTGCTAAGAAACAATTTATCAAGGTGAGTTTAAGCCCCAAGCCCCCAGATACTTTGACTTCTGACCCTGTCCTTACCCCTCTGAGAACCACCTCATGCTGCTGCTGGTTCCCCTGCAGGCCTCCACTGCTGGTACTGACAAGATTCATGGCAGCAGCAGGATCTGGGCTTAGGTGGTGGGACAGGGCTCTTCCTCACAGCCACCGCTGTGCTCTGCTCCTCATAAATAGGTATGGGGACCTATGGGGGCAGGCTGCAGATCTCTGATGAGGGGAGCTTCTTTCCAGCACCTTCTCACAGCTCCCACCATCACAGCCACACAGGCCTGTTATACATTTCCTTGTGAGCCTGAGAAAAATTTGAGAGTGAGGCTTTGAGGAAATTAATGGACTAAATGTCCCTTTATTACAGTCTTAGTTTATTCAAATTTCTGTTTTGGGGTTTGTTTTTGTTTGTTTTTTATGTTGTTTTTCCCTCTCAAATTTCTCTCCAAAGCCCGAGGTAAAAGGATCGTTGTTAAAGACGTATACTGATTTTTTAATATGTGCTTTGCTTTGTTTTACGAAATAAGGAGGCAGTGTCCTAACTGGTGTGATCCAGCCTCTACAGTCACACAGGTGCAGATCAAATGAAGCCCAGAGCAGCAAAGGCCTTTGCTTTGTCTAATTGGCTGGTAAGTGTTCATCTACACTGTCTATGAAAGGGATAAAATGCATTTTGTGTCTGTATAATTGTGTTCATCAGGTACTGTTTGACCTCAAGAGACATAGCCTTACATAGCCTTCCCTACTTCTTTTTCTTCTCAATTTTTTTTAAGACATTCACAAATTAAAATGAAGAAAACCAGAACAGCACATCTTTGGAGGCTTCAGTTTTAAAACAGAACAAAAGAGAAAAAAGATCTTGGAACAGAAAATATATTTATTTTTACTGAGAAAACTCAACGTCAGCAACCATTCTAGAAGGTTTACAGAAAAACACAGCAGTTCTAGACTGTGGGTTCAGAAGTAGTTTAATTCTCACTGAAAGTGTGTGGGGAAAATTCCTCCCTTGTTGAGGAGACAAAGAGGTTTAAGGAATATATGTAAGTCAAAGAACACAGAAAATCAAAGTAATACAAAAAGAGAAAAAGGACTACTTGGTGTAATTCACCTTTGCCAAGTATAACCCTGACAGAAAGGGCAGTTTTTCAAATGG